GGTGGGTAGTTGGAGAAGACGGTGACGGGCAGTCGGAGAAGACGGTGGCGGGCAGTCGGAGAAGATGGCGGTGAGCCAGTCGGAGAGGAGCAACGGTGGGTGTTCGCCGGATCTCCCGCCTCTTCTTTGGCTGGAGAAGAGAGAGAAGAAAAGAAAAAAAAAACTGAAATCAGTTTTCAGCTTTTTCAGTTGAAAACGAAAACGTGAAAATGAAAACGGATTTTTTCTGTTTTCAGTTTTTCACAAAAAGACAAACGTTTTTGTTTTTGTTTTTGTTTTCTAAAAAATTTTGTGCCAAACACGTTTTCACTTTGTATTTTCATTTTTTTTTTTTTAAAACGTGAAAAATGAAAACAAAAACAAAACCAGGCCTAGACAATTTTCTGAAAACCGTTGGCTTCTTTAACAGCAACAGTGCAACAAGATATTAGGAAACGACAACAATTGAGTAGAAACAGCAACAGTTCAGAACAACGACAAAATGTATGAAACGACAATGTTTTTGGAAAGGAAATGCTCGACTTACAATTTACAATTTCACGAGAAATTCACGACAAAAACGACAACCAAACTTTTATAAATTAAGAGAGAGAGAGAGAGAGAGAGAGAGAGAGAGAGGGGGAAAAAAAAAACCCAACCAAAACCACCTCCTCCTTCAACGCTAAGCCCTCTAACAGTGACACTCCAACACAGAACTTGCGCAGAGGAGCTTTTTGTGCTAGGGTTCAGGGTTTAACCTCAACCCCCAGGCCCTACCAAAACCCTAGCGCAAACCACCATGGCGCGCTTCCCAAGGCCCTCGTCGCCACGCCTTCTCTACACTCTCTACAAGACGACGGCGTCCTCGTCCTCTTCTCCGTCGCCCGCCGCCTCCGCTCTCCTCGGGACCTTCCACCTCCGGAGCTTCTCCGCCGGAAACCTGGCGCGGACCAAGGAGGACAAGGATCCATGGTGGAAGGAATCCATGGAGAAGCTCCGCAACATCGGGATCTCGGCTCACATCGACTCCGGCAAGACCACGCTCACCGAGCGCGTTCTCTATTACACTGGCAGAATCCACGAGATCCACGAAGTCAGAGGGAGAGATGGAGTTGGTGCGAAGATGGATTCCATGGATTTGGAGAGGGAGAAGGGGATTACTATTCAGTCCGCCGCCACTTACTGCACTTGGAATGGATATCAGGTACTGAGAATTCTGTTTGGTTGCGGAGAAAGTTAAAGCGCATAACTTTGCAGTTGTGTCAATGCAAAGTTTGAAGCTTGCGTAATTGATCGTGTAAAAGTTGAATTTTCAGTTTGAGAATTGACATATATGATCTTAATCCAAAGTCGGGTACTGATAATCCTGTTTGGTTGGCGAGAAAGCTAAGTAGCTTAGAAAAGTGTTAAACACGTGATTATAATCGCAGAAATGCAAAGTTTGAAGCTTGCGTAATTGAACGTGTAAAAGTAGAAATTTCATTTTGAGAATTGCAATATATGATCTTGATGCGAAGTCAGGTACTGAATATCCTGTTCGGTTGCCGAGAAAGTTAAGGAGCTGAGAAAAGTATTAAAGAACCTAATTTTATAGTTTCGGGAACCCAAAGTTAGAAACTTGTGTAATTTAGCACGTAAAAGTTGAAATTTCATTTTGAGAAATGAGATTGTTGAAGTTTATGATCTTGATCGGTTTAAATTTGTGTTTGCAGGTTAACATAATTGACACCCCCGGTCACGTTGATTTCACCATTGAAGTTGAGAGGGCCCTGCGTGTTCTTGATGGTGCCATTCTTGTACTTTGCAGTGTTGGTGGCGTTCAAAGTCAATCAATAACTGTTGATCGGCAGATGAGAAGATATGAGGTTCCAAGACTTGCATTTATTAATAAACTTGATAGAATGGGAGCGGATCCATGGAAAGTGCTTAATCAGGTAAATTTTGCAATTTTTAGGTTTTAGCAATCACTATAAATCAATTAATTAACATTGGTATCTTATAAGGATCACTAGTTATTTGCCAAAAGAATTTTGTACCAACTGTTGTAATCTGTAAATTGTCATTTCCAATTGGTGAATGTATTTAGAGGAAGTCATATTTTTTAATTCAAAATTAATGGCTCATTTGCTGCATCGTTAACCGTTAACGTCCTAGTAGTAACTCCTAAGCAATACTAGAATCATCTCCAATTGATGCAAGTTATAGTTAATCTTGAATGTGTTGGGATTATAATCTTTTAATGGTCAGTATTTAAATTAGTTGGTTTCTCTTGTAGGCACGGTCCAAGCTACGACATCACAGTGCGGCAGTGCAAGTACCTATCGGGTTGGAAGACGATTTTAAAGGTCTTGTGGACCTTGTGAAGCAAAAAGCCTACTATTTTCATGGTTCTAATGGGTCTGTTTTATGAGATATGGCGTTGCATAGTTTCTTAAAATGAATCTTTTTTAAATTTCCATGCTTTGCTTATCTTTTTTTCCCTTGTCGTGTGTTGGGTTCATATTATAGTGAAAAGGTGGTTGTTGAAGAAATTCCTGCCGATATGGAGGCTTTTGTCACAGAAAAAAGGCACGAACTAATTGAGGCTGTTTCTGAAGTTGATGATACACTTGCTGAAGCATTTATTAATGAAGAGCCGATATCACCAGCTGAACTTGAGGTATAAATTGATGAGAAACTAAAAAATTAGTAAACGAAAGGGTTTTTTTTTTTTTTTTTTTTTTTTTTTCAGACAGATATTATGCGACGAGGAGTTTTTGTACTCTATATAGCTCTTTGGGGATATAGTTTACTTCCTTTTATGATATGAAATTATGTTGTTTGGAGTGTGAATTTTTGTTTTACCTGTATATTTATGTGTGCCTCAAAATTTAGGGCTCTGTTTTCATTTTGATTAGGAAGCTATTCGCAGGGCTACCGTAGCAAGGAAATTCGTGCCTGTGTTCATGGGTAGTGCATTTAAAAACAAGGTACTTTTAAATTTCTTTTTTAATTTCTATTTTCCAAACTCGGTAGTTATTTTCGTGTTTCTACCACGTATTCTTGGTCTCCTCGATCAGTTCAATTCAATTTGCAGTTGGGTCCATGTTTTATATTTCATTTATTTAAGTTTAGCTTCACATTAGGATTGCAATATCATGTAAAGCAAAATCTCCAATTATTTCTTAGTTTTTGGTTATCGGCTTGGTAAGTTATATGCTTTGTGTGCAACGATAAAGTAAATTCTCAGTTCTTACACAAGTATCCGCTTGTGTTCTATGTTGGGTTTATTGTCTTTTACCTCCTTTTTTATTGTACTCTTCATTGGATGTCTATTTATGTTTTTCATCTTCTACCAATTCTGTACCACAGGGTGTTCAACCACTATTGGATGGTGTGCTTAGTTATTTGCCTTGTCCTATCGAAGTCAGTAACTATGCTTTAAACCAGTCAAAGAACGAAGAGAAGGTACTAAGCTGGGGAAGTTTTACCCATTACGTTTGCTTTACTAATTCCGGTTCCAATGAGTAATGATGGTCTTGGTCTAGGTTACCTTGGCTGGATCACCAGATGGACCTCTTGTGGCATTGGCTTTTAAATTGGAGGAAGGTCGTTTTGGTCAGTTGACATATCTAAGGTATGCATGAGAGGTGCTGTGTTCAGTATGACTTATCTTAATTTTGCATTAGTGTCTCCTGTATCACACTAGTGACGCTAACAATTGTCATTTTAATAAAGGATCTATGAAGGAGTTATTCGGAAGGGTGATTTCATTATTAATGTAAACACGGGCAAGAAAGTTAAGGTGAGTTCAATGGATAACCTATATTTTACGTGTCATGGCTTGACTATCTTTTTCTTTTTTACCTTCTGTAATATACCCTTTTTATACTTTGGATGTGTAATTCAACCTGTGTCCACTACAATATCAAGTTTTTAAATAATAACAGGACTCTCCTTTTAAAGTGCACTTTTGTCATTAGTACTGTTCTGTTATTTCTTGTTACAGGTTCCACGCTTGGTTCGGATGCATTCTAATGAGATGGAGGTTAGAATTTGCTTGATGTTATACTAATAAAGTTATTCTGCATGTGATAAGAGTTTTTGAAATAAAACATTTTTTTTAGATGTTTCTGTCAAGAAACAGCTCCATTGGAAAATGTGTGGTAGTTTGGAGTTGAACTTTTAGTTAATATATTTGGGAAAAAGGAAAAAAACAAAATTCTTAGCAGTGGAAATGTGGAAAACATTGGCTTCTGGAATTCAGGTTATACTTGAGTTTGAATATCAACTTCGGTCACTTTTACCAAAGTTTTTTAATTGTCTTGGGGTCCATTTGCAGGATATTCAAGAGTCACATGCTGGTCAAATCGTTACTGTATTTGGTGTAGATTGTGCATCAGGTTTGACTACTACTACAAATACACAATATAACACCTTCACACTAACGCAACAAAAGACATGAAGATATAGATTGTCAATGTTATTCCCTTTAGTCATCACAGTAACAGAAGAGAATAATTTCCATGTGAAAAACAATAGGAGTTGTTACTTTTGCGATGAAGTTAGAGATTAATTTATATATGAAAGGATAATTCACATATTATAAACTAATGAAAAGAGCAAGTTAGGTTACAGAATAAACTGGTTAAAATCCTGCTCCATAATGTGATAATTATGTTGCTTTTCCTGGTTAAATTTTTCTTTGCTTCTATTTTTTTCCCCCTTAAGACCTTTTTGTATTGTGCCTTCAGGGGATACATTTACTGATGGATCAATCAGATATACAATGACTTCTATGAATGTCCCCGAACCAGTGATGTCATTAGCTGTTCAACCGGTCTCAAAAGATTCTGGTGGACAAGTGAGTGAATTCTGTGTAAACATATTTGTTTCAGTATTTATAAGTGTTTGGTGTTATCCTAATATATTTTTTTACTGCTAGTTTTCGAAGGCTCTGAATCGTTTTCAGAAAGAGGACCCTACTTTCCGTGTTGGCTTGGATCCTGAGAGTGGACAGGTGTGCTTTGTTAATGCCATTCTCTTCAGTCTTCCCTCTCTTGTTTAAAAATCATTTCTCATTCATCATGTAACCTGAAGGAATAATTTTTGCCGCATCTTACTGAGAAACTGTCCCTTGACCAGACAATCATTTCTGGAATGGGGGAGCTACATTTGGACATATATGTTGAACGGATTCGAAGAGAGTATAAGGTGCCTGACCATATGTAATTTCTGATATGAGAATCATGTTATTTCTGATTGGTACTTCACCAATTCACCTCATAGAAATAACTAATGAGTTTTTTTTTTCCATCCTTTTTTTTTTCTCCTTCAAACAGGTTGATGCTACTGTTGGAAAACCTCGTGTAAACTTCAGAGAGACTATTACCCAACGTGCCGAATTCGATTATATACATAAGAAGCAATCTGGAGGACAAGGTCAATATGGAAGAGTAGTCGGGTAAGCATGCATAAGCTTTAATGTAGCACTACTAGATTGGTTGAGAAAACATTGTAAAAAGACACTTGTCAATACAATAGTCCTATACCCTTATCTGAATATCATTTTGAAGAAAATACTGTATTTGTCAGCCTATGCAATACATAACTTTTTAGCATGTGCTTCGGGTGGTGGTTAGTTTATGTGGGCAGTTTTGTTGATTTAACTTGCTAACTTTTGTGGCTGGGGGCTTGCCCCGGGTATCTTGACGTATTAAGTTTATACTGGTAATATGCATCACTTGGTTTCTTCATCTTGTGCTGATTTTTCTTTTTATATTTTGTATCTTCAGATATATTGAACCACTTCCACCAGGGTCACCAACTAAGTTTGAATTTGAAAACTTGATCATTGGGCAAGTGATACCATCAGGTTTCATCCCAGCAATCGAGAAAGGTTTTAGAGAAGCGGCCAATTCGTGAGTTCTTTGCCCCTTGGTGATTTCCGATCCTTTAGTGTTGATTGAGTTATCTTCAAAGATTTTTTTTTCTTTTTTCTTTTTTCTTTTTTCTTTTGAAGGATAGCAGTGTCACCTCATAGCAATTTAACTGTTTTCATTTTACGTGACAGGGGTTCATTAATTGGACATCCAGTTGAAAATATCCGTATTTGTTTAACCGATGGAGCTTCTCACGCCGTGGATTCCAGCGAACTTGCGTTTAAGTTAGCTTCAATATATGCATTTAGAAAGGTTTTAGTCTACTTATATCCTGTCTCTGTGTAAATTATTGAAGTTTTAGGTGTTACCTACGATGTTAAGTTTTGAATTTTTACCAGTGCTATGCGGCCGCAAAACCTGTGATATTGGAGCCTATTATGCTTGTGGAGTTGAAAGTACCCACAGAGTTCCAGGGCACTGTTGCAGGCGATATTAACAAGTAAGTGATGATGCATCCACAATTGTAGACAGAGATGTATTGAGGTTCTATTGCCAACAAACGTTAGTAACTGAAAACAAACTTTGGCATCGTGTAGGAGAAAAGGCGTGATTGTTGGAAACGATCAGGAAGGAGATGATTCTGTTATTACTGCCCATGTAAGTCCCTTTTAGCGTCTATCTGATATTATACAATCCAGGCTAGGATCTTTTACTTTTGTATGCTGGTTGATTTGCAATCGTTACGAGTCTATATATTGAGCATACTTTGGCATGATTTTATTTCTTGCCATGTACACCACTTACATTTATCTAAGCTGAGAACGTGCCGGCTAGGACAATTCCATCTTGGTCAGTAGTCGTCAGTGAAATATTATAACTGACACCGAGTGACTTTTGAATCGTGATAAGCTTCTTAAAGTACTGAATTTTGCATCTCTAGGTCCCACTAAACAATATGTTTGGATACTCGACATCTCTTCGATCGATGACACAGGTAACATGAATAATCTTGTCTCTTAAGTTTAGAAACTCCCTTTCTCGTTCCCTTATATGTAGTTCTGTAATTTTTTTTTTTTTTTCTCTACGCAGGGTAAAGGTGAATTTACAATGGAATACAAGGAACATATGCCAGTTTCCAACGACGTCCAAATGCAATTGGTAAACAGTTACAAGGGCACCAAGGAGGCTGAATAGTCGGTTTTCCGCTGAAGCATTCGCTTAGTCAAGTTTTCTTCTCTTGATAATTTTCTTTTTTAACTTTTTAAATTATATTATATTTGTGATTTTTTTGGGGGGCCATAAAGAAATTTTGAGAGGCAGCAATAAGACTTTAGCTGCTCCCATGTCTTGAAAGCGGGATAATGTATCAATGAACTGCACTTTCTCATGTATAGCACAGTATAGATAGTTCAAGTAAGCTTTCGCTTGTGAAAAGAAAGTTTATTATCCACATAACTGTATTTGTTTCTGCAACTTCTTATTCTCTGTATGTGTTGTGTGTGAATAAATTTCCAAAAGCTAATCAATATCAAACCAAGCAGTTTCATCAGAAATAAAGGAAACAGAGGCACAGAAAAATCCATGTACAGCGCTTGGATGATTAGGTGAATGCTTCTCTCAAGTTAGTTGGTAGTTCCAAGTCAGGCTCGAATTCAGTCAAAGGAGAAAAATAGTGATCCACCATGTCTTGGGAAACTTGTTCTACCGTTGGAGGATCCCACTGCACAGTTGCAAAACAAGAACCAAATGTTGCAATTAGTATGCAGCACTGCTAGTGCTAACAACAGAACATGCATCGGCACAAGGAATCAAGCGAGTCCATCGAATAATGTTAGGAGGCGCCAGTAGCATCCACAACGCAATACTAATAGAAGGTGAGTCTACAGCATGGGTCTCTCATATGGAGCTCACATTCTTTTAGTTGTGATGTTAGAAACCACCGGTGCCTGAAAAGTCCTTTACTAGCTTTTAACCCAAGAAGAAGAAGGAAAAAATAAAAATAAAAAAAGAAGATGAAGAAGAAAGGAAACATGAAATCTAATGCTAAAAAGTGGTCTTCTAGTATTTGGCTATTTGCTAAGTGTGGTCAACAAGCATAGTGAAGCAAACATAATGATGTCCTGGTTAGGTTGCATCAAAATGCAAGAATTTTTAGCTAAAAAAGATGATACCTTTGGAGCCAAATCCTTTTCCACTACTCGTGCCCGAACCCCCTGAAATGGACACATAAAGTAAGGCATTATGATTTGTGACAAGATCATGAAGGTCTTGTTTCATAAAAAAGACAATTGAGAGGCTCCATACCTCTATAAAGTCACCCGAAACCTGCTTAGATATTCCCTGCAATGACATTCGGTATTCACGGATCAGACACTGATCAAGGGTCTGAAATCGACCTTCTCGTATCTGCAACCATTATTTGGTTAATAAGATCATAAATATAAGTATCACCATCCCGTAAGAGAAAATTCAAAGCAGCTAAAGGGAGTGTGAGAAAGGGACTTACAGATCTTAAGGAAACCTTCAAGCTCAATGGTGAAACTTCTTTTAGTCTCCTCACAGTGGAAGTGCACCATGCATCATTAGTTCTAGCCGCCTCGCTTTCCTGAGAATTCGTTTCAAACGTTATGTCCAAAATCAAATAATCTTGAATATATTTTGTGAAAAGGATACTGAAGCAGTGTTGGGTTAACAGTTCTAAATGCACAAAAATAAGAAAAAATCGGGGTATATGTTTACCACTGCGTAAATGATTTCTTCAACGGTGTCATGGCTGAAACACTTACCAACTGTTTCAATCCTAAACAAGTCCAAAACAATTTAGTACAAGCTATTCATATTCATTATGGATGGAAATGAGCGCCTTGTAAATATTGCACACAAATGAAAAGGTTACTATATTGGAAAAAGACCTGGAAATAAGACCCTTATCTGGATAGACAGGTTCACTAAATTTTTCTAAGGAAGCTTCAACCACAGAAGGGTCATCGGTGACTAATTCCCCAAGTTTCTCTTCAACCAATTGAAGCCTCTAGGATTAAAAAGAAACCAAATTAGCTAATGTCATATAACCTCCAAAACAAAAAATTGTAGGAAAAGGGTCTCCTAACTGAGCTATGTGAATAGTGTGTAGCAAGGCCACAAGCAAACATTTCTTCTCCACTTAACTTTTCTCCTGTTAGAGCCAAGTACTCCCCTGCAAATAGCCATAAATTTATTAAAGTAATTACAGAGAAATTATGGAGAAACAAATGAAAGCTTTTAGTTCTCCTCCACAAAATATGAATTTCAACACAAATTCACTTCGAGACGTGACATTGAAGTTGTCCTATCAGAAGTCTTGAAATAAATTTAAATAAGAATACCTTACTAGTACCCTTGTCTACTTAAATTAGTAACCTCTAATTAAAAGATGTGCTGCATTACAAAGGCGTACCTAGATGACCTGGCAAATGCGAGAGGTAGAAGGATGCTCCAGCATCAGGGTGAAAACCAATTAGAGTTTCCGGGGTAGCAAAAACCTGCAGATTGTATGAATCAGCAGAGAGGAATTTTTAAAAAATATATTCTCTGCTAAAGAAAATTCGAAAAGCAGAAGCATATCAACTTCTAGGTCCTCATCCTCCATGTCTAAAATGCTTGAATGCAGGAATAAACTTGTTAACCAATACATGCGAAACATGATGCAGACAAGGATCTTTTGCAAAGTAAGATATATGGCTCCTGTCTCCCAACGAGAAGGGAAGGTTTAGAACAATAGTTAAAAGCCAACGGTTTCTAATAATTGGGAAATGAATAACATAAACTTATATCCAGGTACATACAGTTTTTTCAGTAGCAAGCCGAAATGTGCCGGGGATTGAGACTCCAGCACCGCCACCCATTGTAATGCCATTCAAAAGAGCCACCTGCATGGAGATTAAGATTGCAACTAGACTCAGTGCTAAACACTAACCAGACCTTGTGAAAATAATTTTTTCTTGTTGGAAAGGTGAAAATTAGGACCCATCTACAAATAATTTTGTTTTCCAATAATTTGACAATGTCCCAAATTGATGGTTTCCAGAAAAATATCTTCACTTGACTACATCTGCGGATGGTTACAGAAGGTAACATGCCACACAATGAAAATAAGAGTCCAATAAAGATTTCACCAAGTAGAAATCTAGAAAAAATTATTATTACTTACATGTGGTTTTAAATAAGTACCCAGTATGTATATGAAACCATACAATTTTCTAAAAAACTCTTTGCAGTTTTCCATATTCCCTGCGTAAAATGAACTCAGGCTTACAATACTATTTGGAACCAATCAGAATATTAAGAGACAACTCAATGCGATGCAAAAATTTAGTTTCTCACCTATATTTATCAAATGATAGAGAGAAACAATATCTCCACCGGCACAAAAAGCCCTGCCACTTCCCTTCAAAAATTGGCACAATATCATATAAGCTCCTACTTGGTATATGAATCAATATTCCATTTTTTTATCACTAGCTAAGAGATTAATCTTTAATGTTAAAAGAACCCAGAAGAGAAATGAGAAAAGAAATTACCTTCATCACAACAAAACCAACATCAGGGTTATTTTCCCAGGATGAGTATAATTTCTGCAATCTAGCCCCCTAAACGACACAAAAGTGAGGAAATAAAAAAACTAAAAAGAAGCTAAGAAAAGCTGAGCAAAAATTAACAATTATGGTACAATCCCGTAAACTAATCACTTAACTGGATAGTCAAAATTTAAAATTGTGCTTAGACAGAAATTTAAGGAAATGGGTTGCGACCAAACAAGCCAGAAAAAGCTGAAAATAATCAAACTTTTTGAATAGAAGACAAATGGGAATGTGTATATAACTCTTTACCATCAAAGCATTGAGAGCATTTAGAACTGAGGGTCGGTTGAGAATGGCTTTTCTGGACCAAGCTCTTCCTTCCACCAATACCTGAGAGAGAGAGAGAGAAAGAGAGATTATTGAAGAGGTGAAAAGGAGAGAATAAAGGAAAAGGGTATCTGTAAATACACTACTTGATTGTCAAGATCATTGGAAAGTTCATTGTCAAAGTCTGGGAAAGAAGTAGAAGAGAGCCCTCTTTGTCGTTGGAGCTGATGAGTTTGTAGTTTGAGTCTCGCAAATAAAGCTGCTTCCTTTACTCTGAACCTCTTCATCATCTTCTCTTTTTTGGGTTTAAGAGAGAAAGAACTCAACAATTTTTAGGTGCTGAATTCTCTCTCTCTCAGAACACTCTTCCACTGGATGCTAGTACGGTTTAAACATTTAACTCCCCGGATTTAAGTAGGAGAAGGAAAGAAAAAGAAGAAAATGGGGGTTTTTTTTTTTTCTTCTCTCTTCTGATTTTCTTTTCAAACAAAAGTACAAAACGAATAAAAAATAATTAATTATTATCATTTTTTTTTTCCGGGTCAAAAATGTGTCTCGTGAATGATCGTTTATAATTAGGATGCATTTATATTTTTAACGATGTGATCTGTAGTGAGAGTAATTTTTGTTGTGTTATAAATTTTTAAAACCAACATAAATAAATTTATTTATTAAAAAAATAATTCAACAGTTAAAAATAATATTTCTTACTATAAAATAAAATAGCCTTTTATACCATAAAAAGTCCCTTAAAATTAATTTTTTCTAAGTGACTTTTTTTTTTTTTTTTTTCAAAAAAATAGGTTATTAGAGCATCTCTATTATCATGTGATCAAAATAAAGGACTACCAACATAAAGAAAAAAAAAAAAAAAAAAACACTCAAACCGAGTCCACCGTTAGAACCACACCCAGACCCTACTTTGCCAGAGAATCATCCCCGAGATCTGAGTTTTTCTCTTTTCCACCATTAAATGTCACCGTTGTCCCGCACGTCACCGAGAAGACCTCCCGGAGCCGTTCTGCACGTCACTGTCATCGGCAACTCGGCCCCCTCTATTGCCTATCACCGAACCCCTCTTGACTAGGCCACCTTTGAGATCTCCCACAAGATATGTTGCTCTCATTTGCACTGTCGCATCACTGCCAACGACGATTTTTGGCGGATAATCAATGTGCAGTGGAGGATTACCTTTGAGTGTTCTTCGCAGAGGTCATCAGCATCAGAGAAGAGGACGTTCGCGCCAGCGTGGAGAGAGCGCACGATGGGGAGAAGATCGCGCCGTCGTAGGGGAGTCGTGTGACCGGGGTGGTAAGTTAGGGGCCACCGTCAACGGTGGGAGACATCGCCCTACCGCCACAGGAAGTTATTCGCACTTGGACGGAGGAGAAGTTCGCCGGTTTGGGGAGAATTTGGTTAAAATAACCAAGTGAAAAAGTAAAATTAGGAAAATAATTTTTTAATTTTAATTTTATAACGACGCCCTAAGATTTATTTTTTCTTTTTTATAAAGATCATTAAGATTTGTTTCTTTTTTAAATCTAAAAAATTATTATTATCATTATTATTTTCCTGAAATAAAAATAAAAAATGTGTGTCGTGAATGGCGTAGCTCATGACTATTCGAACTAGGGCAGTAAGAAATCACCCCAAACCTGACGAACCTGGTCGAGCTGAGCCAACCCTACTCAAAAATCACGGGTTTTTAATTTTTTATTTAATTTTCAGTTTTAATTATGCTTAACCCGCACTGCGCGAGTAGGGGTGTGGGGTGGGGTTACATGAACCCGAGGTAATCATACCCGGCCGAACATGTTCAAAGTAGGTAAAACAATGTCCAATACTTCAAATTCTTACTTTCATAAGTTTATGGACTTTATGCATTTAAACTGTTAACTTATTTATGTTTTGGATTCACGGTTTGTGTAAAAAATGCTTGTATGACATAGTTGTTGAATTATGACATTCTTTATTTATATTGGAAGTGTTTGATTTCAAAGACATAATTGTTGAATTATGACATTCTTTATTTATATTGGAAGTGTTTGATTTCAAAGTGAGTGTTTTAATTGTTCACCTTGCATTTAGACCCCCTCTTGAAGGAAAAATATGTTCTGTTTGATAATGATTTCTTCTGTAACAAGCACAGATTAATTGATTAAAAAGTGATCATGTGGTTCTTGAGATCACCAACCCGAGTAACCCGACCCTACCCGAGGTCACCCGAAAGGTTGCGGGTTTGTAGACTTAAGAGAGTGTCGAGGCTCAAAATTTTCTCAACCCGCACTGGTCGAGTAGGCTCAATTTTTCGACTCAACCCTACCCTACCCGGCCGATTTACACCCCTAATTCGAACTACTGCCGTATGGACTCATAAAGGAAGGGAAGCAAAAAAGAAAAAAAAAAATCTCTTTCTTGTGTATGGAACATTTTTCTGGATTAATTTCACTTTTATTCCTCTAAACACTCCACCTTGTTCTATTTCAAAACATTACAGGTAGTATCTTGATTTTTTCTAAGGGTCTTCCATTACTAAATCTTTAAAAACTTGACGAAATTAGCCATGTGATCCTTATGTTTGGTTAATACTTAAAATAGAGGGTATATATATATTTAAAAAAGAAAAAGAAGTTTCTTCTCTCTACCGAGTTAATTAGCAAACCATGCATTTGACAGTCAGATTTACTTAAATTTATCTTATGGGTGTAATTTTTCTAAAATTTAGTTCGTTAATGAGATAGTAAAAGTCCAAACATGAGACGTTTTAGTAGATAGAGGCATCATTTGTGAAATCTAAATTCAGGGATTAAAATGAATTTAAAAAAAAAAAAAAAAAAAACTTGATGACCAAAATTTAAAGAATCCCTTAATTCTAAAATACATTATTCTCAAAATTCGAATTGAATTAAGTAGGAGCGATTTTGTGAATTTGTTAGATTTGTTTATCGTTTTTCCTCTCTTGCTCTTCTAGAACCTCAACTTCTCACCCTCTTCGTTTGCTAGCTCAAAGCATCCTCAAATACTACAACATTTGCTGATGGTTCTTTTGGATTATTTCTCCAGTTTTGAGGGCAAGATGAAACAAAAGTAAATCATGAAATGCAACTCAATCTTTGGAAAACGACGACGACAGAGAAACAAACGACACCATCAAGAACGACATGATCAGATGTAGAATAAAATCTTTAAAACAACTGAGTAATAAAAAAAAGGACAGCAAAACTTGAAACCCGCAAACCACATCTTATTCTAAACTAAAAGGATGACTTAAAAACTAACAATATCAAAAAACGACTTCACGTTCAAGAAGCAAGCAGCCAGAAAAAATGACGTTGCGTTGAAAATCGACAACATAATAAAGTAACGACAACAAAATGCATTAGGAAATGATACATGGAAAGTATAAACGCAACGGCATAAAATTCTTAATAACCAGAAACATAAACTTGATGATTATGAACTTAAAAAAGCTGAATTTTGAGTCATAATAAGACTTAAATTAAGTGAAGCAAGCAAGCAAGAATATATAACTGACTCCACAACATCGCAAAAAGGTTTTGACATCAAAAGACATGATCATAGATATGCATATTCCTAAGCAATTTCGAACTCCGTTCAACAGAGCAAATAGGTTACGCTATTGTTCCGATGATCGTGAGGGGGGCCTTGCTCGGCCCTGATCAGCCTGTGATCCTGCACTTGCTTGATATTGAGCCTACTGCTGAAGCTTTGAAAGGAGCGAAAATGGAGCTCGCTGACACCACCTTCCCTCTTCTCAGAGGTACCATTGAACAGAAACAGAAGTACGAAAAGAGAAGCACTGATATGATCTTCCATGGAGAGTCAGAGACCTTAAGGCTTTACTAAAAGGATGCGGCTCGTCATAACAATTTATCAATCCTCGTGATATGTACTTCACTTCTTCATTTTTTGGTTGCAAAAGCATTCCAACGTAGTTCAATCTAGCTTCATTGATAATGACTCTAGAGAAGGTGAGGCCCAACACAAGGCTTCCCTTAAGTCGGCAACTCTCGGCATTCGACTCCGTGTCTTTACTTTCAGATGCTTGAGAGTAGGCAAGGGAGAGCGATAAACCGTTCTCAATTCCTCAGGAAAGATGAGAGCCTCCATATTTTCCGATTGAAAGAACAAAATGAAAGGAAATACAATTAGAAAGATCATACTAAATACCTACGTAATATAAGAGTAAATAAGAAACGGAAATAAGAGTATAGTAATATAGATAACCTCTACCGAGTAAACATCCAGGGTAAGATTCTTGAGGTTTGAAAGGAAGACCAACAGATTGGTATACCACTTTTGTATCATAACTTGAAGGCATGTAAACTGTGATTTTGGCTTCCAATAGATATCGAGGATTTATTGAAAAGTTTGAATCCAAGAAACCTATATAGCTAAAGTATACAAGATTAGGAGAATCCACAATAGCCTCCCCTCCACTCCTTTCAAAGGTTTGCGTTTAGTATGATGGTTCAAATCCATAATTTATGGTTTGAATTTGAGATCCAAACCATAATTGTGGAATCAGAATCAGAACTAGATGTTTCAAGCATTCAAAATCAGGGGGATGTAGTTTGTTTTTTTTAGTGGTTCTGGTTTAAAACATCACATTAAGATTCGAACCTTGAATCAGAACCATTCAAACCAAACATTAATTTTCAATAACCATTTTTTACTTTTTGCAAACAAATAAAGGTTTGAACCAAAATCATGGTTCTGGTTCTAGATCCCTCATACCAAACGCAAGTAAACTTTCAGGTTCTGACTCCAGATTTTGACGTGTTTTAACTCTGCATTTGCATAAAGTCAAACTCTCAAGCAGGGGTACTCTAGGAATTAGGTCTTCCAACCAAATATCATTGAACGTTACGCGAGTAAATGAGAGAAGCTTAGAGGACGTTTGATTTATGTATTCAGAATCATTATCGTTTTACGTGTATTTTTTGTGAGAGAAAACACTGTAGAGAACCATAAATTATGATTCAGAATCAGGGACGGATATAGAAAACAAACGTTTCCTAAGTTTTTCGTAGGATGAACGATTAAAGTGGAAATAGGGACACATAGGAGGCCTCAGACGTCGTGGACGACTGACTTGCACCCGAAAAGCTCCATCCGATATACTCACTGTAACCAATGATTTCCAGACTTAAGGTTCGAACATGAAATTTCAGGATTTGACAACTTTGGACATACGTCTAAAGTTAATTTCTCAAGTGAACAGCATCCAGACAACAGGTTATGTAAGACTTGATCATCCAAATGGACACCCTTCAAAGACAAAGACATCAAAGTGGAAGACACATAGAATCAAGATTCTTCAGCTCAACACCACACAACCTCAAATGAGTTAATGATCTCATATGAAGTATGTCAAGAGGTAACGGGTATTGCTCATAAGAAATGTTGCAAATGTAAAGATCAAACTCCTTGCCTTTGCTCTTAGAAACAAAAGTTAACCAACCATCAACCATTAATCTCCAAGAAAGCCTCCCGATATTCATTCGCCGGAAGCTTAATTCGAGCAATCGGTCTATCTGTAACATTGAGCATATCAATCCTGCGGAGTTCAAAACATCTTTGCACATATTCAGCTCTATCAACAAAATCAAAGCATAATGCAGGTAAAGAGTGCCACGCGTGTCGCCAACGCTTTGAGAGGAGGCTCATCCGAACAGCATAAATGGTGGGGATAAAAGAAAAAATGTGATAGATTATAGCATCGATCCGGCAATTCCGACAACCGATCTACTCCCATAGTGTTCGGTTCATAATTTTCCTCTGTCATGTTATACATGGTACAAGATTTTCCACCAAATATAGCATATGCAAAATTTAGCACTAAGAATAGCATGATTCTGAATCTGATGTGATATTTTAAACATGAATCACTCATTATTCTAGAATCACCCTGATTCTGAAACATAGTTTCAGAATCATGATTTGAACCCAAAATCATGAATCATGATTCTAGTTTTAGAATCATGATTAGAATCACTCTGATTTGAGTCCTCCTTTCTCTAGGAAGAACTCAATCACAAAATTTCATTATATCTTATCTAAACAGATTCTTTCGTTATGTCATTTCTAAAATTTCATTATCACTTTTTTTTTTCATTTTATGTGAAGTAAACTTACCTCATTTCTAGTTGTTACGCCATTAGCTCATCCATCACAAAGGTGTCACGTGATCCTCACGTGGGGCTGATGGCCTTGCTTTGTCGGCGAGTTGAAGGGGGTGATGGTGGTGGTGATAGTGTTCTTTCTTCAGCTCTGTTGCTTACTTTTGGAAAAATTAGGCGGACTACGAGTTTTGGCCCCTATTTCTAATTAATGGCCAAACTTTTGCAAGTTAGATGACCATTTTTTGTCGAGTTTTACGGTGGTTAATCAATATACCAATGGTTTACCGTTGATAAACCAATTTATAGTTGATTTTACTAACAATTTGCACTAATGGATTGATGAATTATTGATTGAAATTGGTTAACTACTGATTGATATTGCTCCATCAGTAATAGAGCACTAAGTTAATTAATGATAGACTACTAAAATAATCAACGATAAGTTACAAATCATTCAATCACTATTCACAAAACTAACCATTTCCAAAAAGGAAATTTTCCTAAGTTAACGAAATTTAGGTCATCTACTAAAAAGTGCTTAAAAAATGCCATACTACCCGTTTACTTTTTTTTTCATTTACAAATCTGCCTTAAAAAAAAGTCTGTTTCTTAGAAAATAAAAGTCCCCAAAAATGAATAATTTCGAACTTAACCAAACTATAACAATAGGACAAATGATGTGATTGTTACAAAGATCGGGTAGTATGCCGTGCAAAAGCGTTATTATCCTTAATGTCTCCGGTACGTTAACATATTAGTATGTCATATTTTTTGTCCGTTGTATCTATATAAAATCACGTAAAAGTTAAAAAATACACAGATGTAACGGTTAAAAAACCTGACATACTGGTACATTAAGCGTATCAGAGAATCTCCTAAATAATAATAATAAATCTCTAATAAAAAAGAAGCGTTACCTTACTGGGCCTACACACACATAATATTATGCATTGCAATTCAAATTGAGCATTTAACGAGCAAAAAGGAAAAAGAAAAAAAAAAAAAAAAGAAAGAAAGCTGCGTAGCACTTAAATAAGTCCATAAAGTAGTCACGAAAATAGCTAAAGCTTGGACTCATTTTTGTTGCTTGCGTAATTGGGGTTGCATGGTGACACAACTTTTTGTTCATTGCAACTGTACTGAAAGTTGGCAGTTTTCCTATCATCACGCTTATCTCTAACCTCGATCATCGTCACGTTTTTTGATAATGTGTCCCCACCTTCTTTTTCTTAAACTCATTCTCAAAATGATTCCACTTCTCTATTTTCAACATTTCTTCATCACCATTTTCCTCCCTCTATATTCAAGGTCCCATTCTCTGTCTAGAACAAGTTTTTGCAGCGATGGCGAAAAACCCGATTCGAGTTCTAGTAACTGGTGCTGCCGGTAAAGTTTAATTCCCTTGCATCACGTTATCTTGCAGTACTTGTGTTGTTCTGTTACATATTTTAAGATTTTGTTATGAAAGAATAGAATTTTAAGTTTTTATTATGATATATATACATATATAATATTTTATATGTGCATCTTTTGATTTTAATTCAGAAAAAAATATATATAATCTCCTAATGATCATATGCAAGCTTAAGAAATTCAGTTATACTCAACATTCTTTTCTTATCCTTGAACATATTGGTAGAACACACAAGGAGAAGTTCTTTTCTTGAGAGTGTGGAGATCTTTGATTTGTGTTTCTACATGTCCTATGGACTTTGATTTGGCATCTGAATCCCTTGTCTTGTGAAGGTGTTTATATAGATTCCTTTTTGCTATACTACTATAATTTGGACCATATATTGGAAGTTTGGTTTTGATTTTAACAGTAATCGTTCGTATTTGATCTGTATTCTTTGTGGACTCTATTTGTTTTTTGGCGAAAAAAGATTATTATTATTATTATTATTATTATTTGTTTAAAAAAATGGACGGCCTTCTATTGCTTCAACAAGTTCTGGTTGTTTCCTTTTGTGTTGTATTCTTTTGGAAGCTCACAAAATACATGTGGAGCTTCTTGAATGTTGAGAAGGAACCAGTTATAATATTGGTTACTGGTGCAGCAGGCATGCTTATTCATTCTACCTTTTATGTTTCTAGATTTCACTAGATTGAATTTTTGTTTTATATATTATGTTTCATAAGTTCACACAAAATTTTCATTTCTTAATAAGTAAGGAGACATTTTTTTTTTCAGCATCTTTAAACTTATATTAGACCAATGTTTATACTTCATTGGAAAGTACAAGTCAGATAGAATAAAAATCCTAAATAACTTGAAACTTGAATGATTATCAACATACAAAAGTTGAATTTTGAGCCATCATAAGACTCTTGATTCAGGTGATGCAAGCAAAAGCATAGATAACTGACTCCAGAAGGACCACAACATTACAAAAGAGTTTTGACATCAAAAGATATGATCTTAAATATGCATATCCCTAAACAATTTTGAACTCTGCTTCAACAGGGCAAATAGGTTATGCTATTGTTTCGATGATCGCGAGGGGGGCCATGCTAGGCCCTGATCAGCCTGTGATCCTGCACCTGCTTGATATTGAACCTGCTGCTGAAGCCTTGAAAGGGGTGAAAATGGAGCTCATCGACGCCGCCTTCCCTCTTCTTAAAGGTAAACTCTTTTAAGTCTTGTTTTGAGCGCTAGTTTAACGCAGATGTATTGGTTAGTTCCTTTTTTTTCTTTTTTTCTTTTTTGGCTAATTACTGTGTGAATTATTCAATAGGTGTTGTTGCTACTACCGATGTGGTAGAAGCATGCCAAGATGTCAATATTGCTGTCATGATTGGCGGGTTCCCACGAAATGAAGGCATGGAAAGAAAGGATGTGATGTCCAAAAATGTATCGATTTACAAGGCACAAGCTTCAGCACTAGAAAAACATGCTGCTCCAGATTGCAAGGTCAGAATCCCTTTGATCAGCTTGCATAACATTGCTTTCTAATTCATGTAATCTCATTAAGTTTCTTCCAATAATTGGTACCATCTAGCTCAATAATATGAGTTTGGCTTTAAAATCTGCTTGTGTTTCATAATCTAGTAACCCCATTAAAAAGTAGATAAAACCATCTAAAGTAGTTTAGCATTTTAAATGTTTCTTTTTTCTTTTTTTCTTTTTACTAGAGACAGAAGCTTGGACCATTTTATGTGATGAAGTTTCATTGCTTGAACCATGCAGGTTTTAGTGGTTGCCAATCCAGCAAACACCAATGCACTCATCTTGAAAGAATTTGCTCCTTCAATCCCGGAGAAAAACATCACATGTCTCACAAGGCTAGATCACAACCGAGCATTAGGACAAATCTCCGAGAGGCTAGATGTTCATGTTGGTAATGTGAAGAATGTTATCATCTGGGGCAACCATTCTTCTACTCAGTATCCCGATGTCAATCACGCAACCGTCGCGACTTGCGACGGGGAGAAATCTGTCAGAGAACTTGTAGCTGATGACCATTGGTACCTCAAACTCTGCAACCAAATTACTCTATACATGAAATACTTCCAGCTTGACATTGTCCTTTGAGTCTCAAAAGTACTTTGAACATTTGCTTTTTTTAAAGATCACAACAACCCAAACTTAGCCTCATATTTCTGAACTATCTTTCTACCTTAGATTGTGTTAGATAAGAGGAAAAGGAAAATCTTTCTCTTACTATGGTTAGTACTTTAGTATAAATTATTTTTTCTAATCCCTTCATATTGGGAAAGATTAAAATTGCGGGGGGTTTTTTTTTTTTTTTGAAGTATTTAAAATCGCAAGCACATCCAATCTCTCCTCTTTTATCTCTTACAAATGACCATAGGCCCCAAAATCCTTCCACTGGTCGTTACATCCGCTCCCACCTTTCCGCTTTCCCTCTTACCAAACAAGCTCTTAAATTCAAGTTTGATTCACCAACATGTCCTACTCTCTTTAGGTTGAAAACCGAGTTCATCACCACTGTTCAGCAGAGAGGCGCAGCCATTATAAAGGCTCGGAAGCTGTCAAGTGCATTATCTGCCGCAAGTTCTGCTTGTGATCATATACGTGATTGGGTCCTTGGAACTCCTAAGGTTAGTCACTGCTGCATTTAAATGTCGTTTATGATTGAGCTATATTTTAGTTTCTTTTCATGTTCAAAACTTGTACATTCTTAGACTAATGTCGTTTTTTGCTGTTTTGGATGGCAATTTAGGGAACATGGGTTTCAATGGGTGTACATTCTGATGGTTCTTATGGGGTACCACCAGGCATTGTTTACTCGTTTCCTGTTACATGTGAGAAAGGAGAGTGGTCCATTGTCCAAGGTAAGTTCATTCAGAATTGTTTTTAGTGTCGTTTTGGTATTGAATTACATAAAAATTTATGGTTACAAAAGATTTGGAGTGGGGCACCTCAATTATCAAAGTCATTTAGTAATGGGATTTGTTTTATTGGGATGGCAGGGTTGAAGATTGATGAATTTTCAAGGGCAAAGTTGGATGCAACTGCACAAGAGCTAATTGAGGAGAAGTCATTAGCCTATTCATGTCTCAATTGATGTGTGAATTTGTGATTTCCTTGGAGTGTAATAAAGGGGCCTAAATGAATGCATGGATAATAAGAAAATAGGGTTGCTAATATTGGTCATGGAATGATGAATTGATGATGATAAAGGAACTATTATTGTAGAAAATAATGTCGTTTCTCTGTTTGAATTTGTTAATGATTATTCTTATAAATGGCATTGATGACTAAGCCAAGGTTACAGTCGAGATTCTAGAATACGGTTATTAAGTTAAAACAACATGTCAATACATGCTTTAAAAAAGCGCAAAATGACATGTCGTTAGTGGAAATTTGTTGTCGTTTATGGATAAGACAGCATGACATTGTCAACTAAAAGAAGCTAAACGACAAGATGTTTATACTTTACAATTTAATGTTGCATTTTTATTTTTATTTTTTAAAAAAGACATGTCGTTAGTGCTTAATTTGCTATCATATCTGATTTAAAATTTCGGAACCAGTTTTTCATCAAACGACATCATCATTATTTCAGAAATTTTGATGTTCTGTATTGTACATATTGCCCGTCGTTCGCCAGTAAACAACATGCCATCCTTATTTCAGAATTCGATGTCATTTATCGTCCAGATTCGCTGTTATTTCTTCTTTAGAATTTTGGCGTCTTTTGCTCATAAATTGCCCTCTTGTGCTGGTTTCTTCAGACAATAATACACTCATTTGGTTAGAGGAATTTCCTTTATAAATAAAGCACGTTCTTGTCTAAAATATTTGGATTTGATAATAACAAACTTTTCATTTGAATAGAAAAACGTTTTCCAGAAGATCAAAATAATTAAAGTGAAGAGGCATAGTTTCACAGAATCCTGTCGTTTGTACATACCACAATCTTTTAAAAAATGTTGTCATCACTCATCACTAGTACTGGAACTTTGGACGGGCCGCCCGCGACCGCCCGAAAATCCCAAGGATTTACCCGAGCCCGAACCCGACCCGCCCGAGATTTTTGGGCAGCCCGCCCGAGCCCGAATTTCACCTTGAACGGGCCGCGGGCTTGTATTCGGCGGCCCGAGCCCGCCCGAATTGCCCAAATTTTTTATTTTTTTTTTAATATTAAGTTATTTATATATATATATATATATTACAATTTATATACATATATTATATTTATATATATATATATTACAATTTGAAATAAACACACGAACTATATAAAAAAATTATTTTTTTATTAATTTTTAAATTTGTAATTCATAAGGAAAAAAGAGTGCAATCATTTTGTGATGAATTACAAATTGTACAAACTTACATTGTTTATTAAATTACAAATACAATGTAAAAAGTAAATACATATTTACAAATTACAAATTTACAATTTAATTTGAAGCTGAGGGATCGTCTTCAAAATTAAATGTTAATCGATTAAATTCATCGATTTATTCTTGGCTTGCCGGTAAAATTGTATCTCGTAGACGTTGATCGGCCCAATCCCAATCCTTAATGTAAACCAAGGCTTCAACAATATCCCTTTGCCATGCATTCCGGCGTTCCTCAAGTATTCTTCCTGTCGTACCGAAGGCTTGTTCGGATGAAAC